GACTGTGATAGGGACACCATAGCGCGCAATCCACCCATGCAAGAACTTGCTAGCAACTTCTTCGGCAGTGATGGAAGACATTGGCCAGGCTTCAGGCCACCTTGTGAAACGATCTATCGCCGTCAGACAATAAGTAAAACCATCTGAAGTTGGCATCGGGCCGATTATATCTATGTGGACATGTCTGAATCTAGCTGTTGGTGTATTGAAATTACCAAGTGGAGCTGAAATATGGCGTGTGACTTTACTTTTTTGGCACGACAGACACTCACGGGCCCACTTGCGGCAGTCTCGGTCGATATTGGGCCATACATAGCGCGCCGCTAAAAGGCGCGCAGAAGCACGAGCACCAGGATGACTGAGTGCATGAAGACGTGTGAACGTAGGACGCCGGAAAATCAGCGGTAAATATAGTCGCGGTTTGCCAGTTGAGACGTCACAGAGTACTGATATATCCATACCTGGAACGGGTGTAGACTCTAATTTTAAGGAAGAGTTACTAGACTTAAGCTCATCATCAGCTTCTTGAGCCTTTGCTATCGCGGCATAATCATCTTCAAGTCTTATTGTTTCTATGCGAGACATTGTATCGGCAACTATGTTATTTTCACCCTTGACATATTTAATATCTGTTGTAAACTGCGATATAAACGTTAGTTGATTTAACTGTGCTGGTGGTAATTTCTCACGACGTTGAACGAAGGCATAGAGCAAAGGTTTATGATCAGTGTATATTGTTGAGTGCTGAGCTTCTAGTATATGTCTAAAATGTTGGACCGCATTGTAAACCGCGTATAACTCTCGGTAATAAGCAGGCCAAGTCGACTGACTTGGCGTCAGCTTTTTACTGAAAAAAGCTAAGGGTTGCCAACCTTTGTCAGTTTGTTGTTGAAGGCAGGCCCCCACATACACGCTTGAGGCATCCGTAAATAAACCTAAACAAGCATCTGGAACTGGATGAGCAAGTTGTGTTGCATTAGAAAGGCTTTCTCTGCAAGAATAAAATGCCTTTTCAAGATCAGGAGACCAAGGCATGGGTTTGTTTCCTTTTAAATTTGATGATGTAAGAAAGTCTATGAGCGGGGCTTGTGTTTCCGCCGCTTTCGGTATGAATTGTCGATAATAATTTAGCATACCAAGAAATCGTCTTAAGCCTTGAGCGGTCTTCGGAAGAGGAAATTCCTTAATGGCAGCAACTTTCTCTTCTGGTGGCCGCACTCCATCTTGACAGATTTTATACCCTAAGAATGTGATGGCATCTGCGCCTAGAACGCACTTGACAGGATTGATGATGCAACCATAGTCATTTAGACGCTGAAATAAGGTGCGCAAATGTGTCATATGCTCCTCCGGCGAGCGCGAAAAAACCAAAATGTCGTCAATGTACGGAAAACAGAAACTCAAACCATTTACGACTTCGTCTATAAAACGTTGAAAAGTCTGCCCCGCGTTTCTCAGACCAAATGTCATATAGGGAAACTCAAATAAACCAAATGGCGTTGTTATAGCTGTTTTACAAATATCAGCCTCATTTACCGGTATTTGTTGGTATGCTTTCACAAGGTCTATTGTGCTGAATATAGTTGATCCAGCTAGATTATGAACAAAATCTCCTATGTGACGAACAGGGTAACGGTCGGGTATTGTGCGGGCGTTTAAGATTCTATAATCCCCGCAAGGTCGCCATGTGGAATCCTTTTTAGGGACCAGATGCAGTGGCGAAGACCAGTGGCTTTTAGAAGGACGGGCGACACCAGCAGCCACCATATCTGCGAACTCTTTTTGTGCGGCGCGTAACTTACCTGGTGCAAGACGACGCGGGCGCGCAGCCACTGGAGGTCCTTCTGTAGTATTTATGTAATGGACCGTACCGTGCTTTGTCACGCGGCAAGCACCTGGTGGCCCAATAATATTAGGGTATTCCAAAAGGATTTTTGAAAAAGGCGAGTCGTCATTAATTTTTACTGTTAATTTTTTAAATTAATTTTTACTGTTCAGAAGGTTGCGTGTTCAAATCACGTCGGGGTCACCACTTTGGGTTTAATCACCACGAAAAGAAACACGGAGGAACTTGGTTACATGTTCTTATAATGGTATAAAACATTACATTTATGTTTACAAACTTAGATGCTACTTGACGATTACATAGCGTCCCCATAGACAACCTAAACACTCCCCGGTGTAGGGATGTGTATATAATAATTGTGGGATAGTGATGGCGAATCGCCACAAGTTATTACCCTTTTCTAGACACTTATTAAGACTAAGACCGTTTTTATCGGTAGCTGAAGCATCAAAAACGGGTCGAATACTCGTCGTGAGACTTTGCTCTTTTATCACCGGCCTATGTGGTAGGTAATGTCCACAGTTAATAGTAGTATTTTCCGCTGGTTCAATAATTCCTAACTGCAACCACATTTTAAAAACATCGTCATATAACTGATATTTTCCGCTTGCAATCAACCGTCTAGTCATTGACTCTAAACGTTTATTGGCTTTCTCAAAATTCGGAGTTAAATCATCAAAATTCGTCTTAAATAGTAAATTAACTTCATACCTGCCATCGTCCAATGTTTTTATATTCTCTCGGAAAGTCATTAAAGTATCAGCGACAATTTCCGTTTTTGACTTTACCTCCGCTGGGTCTCTAATCCCAAGTGTCTCCAAAGACCAAAATTCTGTCAAATTATTATTATCACATGAGCAATAAAGAACAGATAAAACCTTATCAAATGAATTATTTATACTCACCGGTTTGCCCTGTAACGCCCAACCCAAGTTGGTTTTAATTGCGACTAGACCATCCTCCAGCTGAACTATAGTACCTGTTAACAGAAATCCTAAATAGTCCGCACCTATCAACAACCCAATATCTGAGATGTCACCCTTGTCTGTCAGGGAGATATTATGTCTGACAAGCATATTTTTAATATTCACATCTCTAAAATTAATTTTTGGTATGTTATTACAAATAGTATTTAAGCTTATAACAGATACAACTATACTAAATGTATTCTCTAAGGAATTCAACTTAATATTATATACGTTACGGTCTTGCGATTCAGTTTCATGTCCACCAAATAATGAAAAAGCTAACTTTTCCTTCGTTAAAGGTATCATACCTAATTTCTTTACAATATCTTCTCGTATATATGTGCGTTGAGAACCCGAATCAAGCAAAGTACGTACTCGTAATTTCTTACCACCACATTCTACTTCAACTATAATAGTTTGTAACAGAGTCTGTCCCTTTGTAAAAATGCTGGAAGAAAGCGCAGCGGCCTCATCTGACTTTCCTGAAATTACTGGGTTTCTCTCAGTCCTCTGATCTGTACATAAGACCGTAGAGTGGCGTTTCGCACAAATGAAACACTTGACGATCGCTCTGCATGCTTTAGGATGATGACCCTTTCTAAGACAAATGGCGCATGCTTTTTTGTCTTTTAGCATCTGGCGTCGCTGTTCCAATGACATTTTTTGTATTTTATAACATTCGAGGCTTCCATGTGTGCTTTTGTCGCACCATACACATACGAGTTGTTTTTGTTTTATGTTTGATATGAGACATTCTGCAGTACTTGGTTTTCCAATTGACAAATCTTTTTGTTCCTTATTATTAAATGTTTCCCTTGACATAAGAATTCTTTGCTCACTTGCAACTTCTTTCTTCAAAAACTCTAACAAATCTGTTAATTCTTCGGACAAGTCTTTTGTCTTCTGCTTGTTTCTTTCCCATGTTCTAAGAAGCTCTTGGGGTATAGCAGATTCTACCAATGGTAATAAGATCGCGGCATAATTTTTAATAGTAAGACCTAGAGTTTCAAGCGCACGCAGTTGAGCGTTTAACTTATCGTACAAATGAGTTATTGAATCTTTCTTGTCTACTAGAATGATTCCCAAAATTTCTCTTACGTATATAAGTGTGAGTAAGTCAGTTCTCGCGTATCTCGCCTTTAACTGTTCTAAACATTCGTCATAAGTTGTTGGAGAAAAACTCTCGATCAATTCACGAACCTCCGAGTTTTCTTTTGCTGACTGTACCAAATATTGGTATTTATCAATTTTGTCCATTATTGGGTCACTATCAATTTTACTAAATTGACCCCAAAAAGGCAACCAGTTTTTTAACTCGCCATCAAAAATATGTAATTGTAATCTTGGCAGTTTTAGATTTCTGGCTTGTTGATTTAATTCTTTATCTGTAATATCTGCTTTTTCCGCAACTTTAGATATATCGTTAAATTTTTTCTTAATACGCAGCCATTTTTCTTTATAGGTGTCAACTGATATAAGTTCTTCCTCTAAATCGTTTTCGTCAAATTCTTTACTTAAAATCAAGTTTTTTATTTCATTGTCTAATTTAAAAAGATTTTCCGTATGATCGCTTAGCTTTGTATAGCACACGTCTAAATCTACGGTTACCTTCTGGTCTAGCAATGTTTCGAAACTATTTGTGGTATTGGTAAAAAGTCTTCTCAACACAGTTCGTTCCTTTTTCTTATTTTGCAAATCCATTTTTATTACTAATAAATGTCTACGGTCGCCACAATGTTAAATTTAAAGGGACGATGAATGTTGAAATATTAGAAAAAAACCACCATTTCTTTCGAACTGACATCAAAGAAGAAGAAAACGTCAGAAATTTATTTTTCTATAATCCTCTTAAAAAGTTTTATATTAATTCACAACACTAATGTTGTTACTACCTAAAACGATTTTGTTAGTTATGTTTCCTAGAATACTTAAAACTAGATGTAGCTGAGATACATTTAAGTTTATGTAACAGATAGGAGTAATTTCTTCGAACACTTTTTACGTAAATAATGCATCTTTTGTATTAGATTCATATCAGATAGAATAAATTTCTATTAGAGTGATTTTGTTTTCCTATTTTTTACTTATTGCAATCAATATCTTTGCGGTAGGTAGTTTAATAAGTATAACGTTTGATTAATATTAATCTTTTGTATCTGTTTTTTTCTTTGGCAGCTTCTGCAATAATGGCGTCTAGGAACAGGGCTCATGCACTAGTAAACAAAATTTGTAGCTCAAGTGAAGCACATAATCTTGCACCCGCAACCTCAACTCCGATTCCGAAACAATTTCCGGAACAGATTGATCTTGCCACATTTACAGACCTACATTATTATGAAAGGAGCGAACCTCCGGGAGAAGAAAGATTGATCTTGGGGCCATTTAATACTGATAACAACGCAGATCTCGTTCAATTAAAAGACTTGATAGCGACAGATTCACTGCCTTTGTTAGTATGTGCAACACCAGCATCATCACCAACTTCGCCACCACCACCTAGACTAGATTCTACTTCATTTCGTGATGACTTTTCGCCAGATGACAGTGATTACGAACCACCCAACCACGATGCAATAAGCTCTGATTCCGAAAATATCCAACCAAATATTCAAATTACGGACACTATCCAGGAGGTAGTTCACTATGGCGATATGACAGAAGGCCGGCGTCGACTAAAAGAAGCTCAACCAGAAAGATGGAAAAAAAATGTTACCAAGCGACTGCGAATGGAGGGTAAAGAGTATGTAGGGTACAAACGGCCAAGGGGTGAAAAAGTTCGACCCCAATTTCGAAACTCAAGGGTCATTGGACCTAGGTGTGTTTCGAATTTCTGCAGAAAGAGTAAGATCAGATGTTGTGATGAAGTAGGTGATGACGATAGGGATAAGATATTTCAACAATTCTGGAATGACATGGATTGGCATCAACGAAAAGTATACGTAGCTAACAACGTAACTTTTCAGGAAAAAGGCAGACTAACAGTATCTGAAAGTTCGAGAAGATCAGGTACTTTAATTTATTTTCTTCCTGTTAGCAATCCCAATGATGGCACCACAACTAAGAAGCGAGTATGTCGTGAAATGTTTCTTCAGACTCTTTGTCTCGGATCATTTTCAGTACAGAGTTGGGCCAAAAAAGGGCAATGTGGCATGCATCCATCAGAAGAAAATATGAATCGTAACCGCCGTCCCAGAGCATTACCTTGTCAGGGACGTGCGGATGCCCTAAATAGCTTTTTGGATGGGTTGCCTAAAATGCCGTCGCATTACAATCGTCTTAACACCAGCAAAGTCTACCTAGAGCCCATTTATCGGAATGTCAATCACTTATACAGTACATACAAACAATTTTGCTCAGAAAAGGAGGTTAATCCCTATGCTAGAAATAAATTTACACAGACACTTAAATCTAAGAATATAGCTATCCATACAATAAAGAAGGACATGTGTGATACCTGTGTGGGTCATCAGACTGGTAATGTGTCTGAGGATGATTTCCAAATACACCTGTGCAAGAAAAATCGAGCTCGTGAAGAAAAAAATAAAGACAAAAGTGAAGCAATTAATGGTAAATGCATAGTTTTGACGATGGATTTACAATCTGTTAAGGTGTGTCCGTTTATCACCGCCAGCGCTGTTTATTACAAGACCAAATTGTGTGTGCACAATTTTTCCATTTACGATTTAGCCTCACATGATTGTACTTGTTACTGGTTTACAGAAACGATAGGTGATTTATCAGCATCTACCTACGCAACATTCATTACAGATTATTTGACTCGCCATTGCCTGCCCAAACGTTTACCAATTATAATATACTCAGATGGCTGCACAAGCCAAAACAGAAATAATATTTTATCCAATGCCCTATTGAATTTTTCTATGCAATATGAAGTGTCTATTGTTCAAAAGTACCTTGACGTTGGACACACTCAGATGGAAGGAGACTGTGTGCATAGTGCCATAGAAAGAAAATTGAAAAATAGATTAATCCACCTTCCAAGCGACTTTTTGTCGGTTACTAAAGAAGCCCGTAGAAATCCCTATGAAGTCATTATGGTTGACTACACATTTTTTTAAAACTTTTCATCTCCTGAAACATTACGCTATACCTCAATACGGCCGGGTCGCAAGACTGGCGATCCGAAAGTTACAGATATAAGGGCTATCAGTTACAACAAAGACGGTATCATTAAATATAAACTAGACTTTGATTCCGATTGGGATACTCTCCCTCAACGTGTTAACAAAATTTCAATAGTAAGAGAGTATCCTCCCTTACATAGAAATAGAATACCAATCACAAACCAGAAGTACAAACACCTACAGGAACTGAAGACAGTAATTCCACTGGACTGCCATTCCTTTTATGACTCATTACCTCATAATGATCATTAAAGCTCATTCAATATTATGATCCTTATTTATCTACTTCTTTGAATTAGTTGATTATTTTAATTTAAGGAAACATTATTTTTGTTAGAATATTTTTAAGTTGTTTGAAGACTGTTTAAAACCTTAGTTCCTATCATAACTAGAGATTGTTTTTTTTTTTACTAAGATTTAAGTTTATTTGAATGTCACAAGATTTAATTTTGGTTTTTGTTTCTTGATTTTTAAGGTTAATAAAATTTAGGTATTTAATACCTAATTTTAGTTTTACTATTTTTCTGGCTTTTTCTAATAAATCCTATCTTCAAATTCGTACACTTCATTCATAGTTTTGGGGGTGATTCCTCCTGAGTAACTAATGTAAATATCTCCTATCTGCATTTTGTTAAGAATTTGAAAACTTAAAACTCCTAACTTCCGTCAAATAAAGAAAAGCTCAAAATAATAGGTATTTTGCAACATTAATAGTAAAAGCACTTAAAAAGAGATCAAGTGTTTTTTTATTTTTTCAATAGTCTTCACAGTGACTAAATAAATCAGTTTATAGTTCCTCCTGTAAAATGTGTGTATAATCAGATAGGAGATCTCAGAAGTTCACGGACGATTTCTATAAATTGGTATGACACAACTTCGATCAACAATACAACGAAGATTGAATTGTTGATCGAGGTGATACAATTATTTATTTTTCCACTAAGAAATTAAAAAAAGAAAATATAATAGACCATACGTCAACAATTGTGTTGCTAAGGGTAATACGTGCGATGGCGTTAGTAAAAATGTCAACGCCATTTGTAAGGGAGTAAAAGGGAGTGTTCCCCCTTGTTCTCCTTGGAAAAGACACTGATCAAAGTATGGGTCAAAGATATTACGAGAGCAAAGCAAAGCAAGAGAAAGAAGAATGACCTATATAATGGATCATAAATAATATATAGTGCGTTATTTTACTATGGAGTTACGACAGCCTGATGCAAAAGCTGAGTTTATATCTGTAATAAATGTCTACGTTCATCCGGCCAAAAAAATAACAATAGCGTAACGGTTTTATATGTATTTCACGTCTCTCACCATTAGGGATTGCAATCCGGATACTTCGAAATTTGTATAAAACCGAAAAATCCGGTTTTGCAGTACCTTTTAAAAACCCTTTTTTAAAACTTAAATTCGTTTTTTTTGGATTGTGTATACAGTGGACTACAAAGTAGTGTGGTCCATTTCCTAAAGTTCTGTAGATCTAAAACAGCGGGACAATTCTGCTTATTTTCACATAATATTCGCATCTCAATAGAATTCCAACTACTTGCATATTAACCTTGTACACACTATCTAACCGAAGTCAAATTTTATTATAATTATATTTGTCGCCATTCATGTTTGAGGATGACAATGCACTAATAATATTGGACTTTAGGTAGATAGCACATTGGTAAAGTGCACGTCGTTGATATTCTATTGAGATTTACGTAAACTTACGTAAACATCAACAGAATAGGTCTGCAGGACTACACATTTGAAACTTGGAAATAATGCATATTTTTCAAAACATCCTGTTTCGATTCCCGAATCAAAAACTTTTTGTTATAAAAGTATGAATGTGGTTTTATTTTAAACAAAATATGAACAGCAGAGCGATTCCATTGGATCCGAACCAGAGTTTGAATTCACTCGTGTGTCTGAATGTAATTAAGTGTAGAAATTCTATTGGTTCCATTTTTGTATAAAATACAAAACAAGTTTGATTGATTCATATGTGTCTCAATTATTCTATTTCTGTCATTTCATAACTCACTTTAACTTATGCCACGAAACGATATTATCAATTATCGCGGATATCGTTTTCGAATTCGGGTTCGGATTTTTCAGAATCATTCCCCAGATCTTTTCAGACTTTCCATACTGACCGTTCTTAATGTTACATACCAACTCTTGTTTCTGCTTATTTGCAAACTTTATTAAACAAATAACTGAATCAAAGATAATTTTAATACTGATAGAGAGAACGAACACAGCTGAATGGTCATTGGATTCGGCAATAGAGAAAAATTTATGAAATTGACAGATCAGAAATCACAGCCAAAGAGAATTTAATCACTACGTTTCCAATAAAAGCAGAATAATGTTCAAAATTACCGGTTGATACGATGCTATGCATCGCGTTGTTGCTTACGAATATTCTAGTGGCCGCGGCCCGTTCCATTAATTATTGTGGCGCCAAAATGTGCGGTCACACTAATGCGCATACATTCTGCCAGTATCCTGTGAGTTGAATTTATTATTTAGTTACCCGGCTTTCAGCTCTATACATCTAATAAAAAAGAAGTAAATATGAGATCACATACACATCACATACCTACATTGCTCAAATCCCAATATGAATTGATGGAGTCCTCGTATTATTTATTATCTACATTGACCCAACCTTGAAATTGACTGAATGAATAATTTATTGGACACATTATAGAAAATTACATTTCACAGATAGGTATTCCTGGATGGTGTGTCCAAAAGGCTCTTGCTCGACATAAGTCACAGATGGCTTGCCACAGGTGTTTTACTATTAGAATTATAAATATACTTTACTTTTAGAAACATATATAAATATAATATGATTATTAATATGTTTATGGCTAAATACTAGAATAATAATTACTGATACGATTTAGATATAAGAGAGAAAAGAGAATATAGATATAGTATACCTAACGAAGTAGTTGAGCAAGGTATTGTCTCTGGTGGAGTTACCTCCCAGGTTCTGGTTAATGTGATAACATTTAAAGTATTTAGATGCAGCAATAGCTTGGGGGAAGACCAAGAGCAAAACATGACTTGCCGTGGCAACACAAAAACGACCAGTATGTTGCTACTACAAAGCCAACTTAATACTTGTAAACTTGTAAATATATTTTTTGATTCAAATTTTATGATTTGCGCGGAATTACCAATTCACTATGACTGATTGCGCGATACAATAGGATTCCAATAGTTGTTTCTGCTTATTTGATGCATGAAATCTGTTTAGCCCGGGCCGAGTACCAAATGCGTTGGTTATATAGACTCTCAACTGAGTGAAGAAGAAAAGGTGCGGATAGTAGCACGGCTGAATCGTAGGCGAAGCGAAGCGGCGAGCGGGCGGCTGCGGCACATGCCCACAGCTGGAAATATGCTGAAACTGGTAAAATACATTTTTATTGTTAAATCATTGGGTAGTACTGTTTTATAAAAGACAATCAATACATAGTATAAAACAAAGTCGCTTTCTCTGTCTCTATGAATGCTTAAATCTTTAACACCACACAACGGATTTTGATGCGTTTTTTTTAATAGATAGGGTGATTCAAAAGGAAGATTTTCATGTAGGTATAATACAAGACCACGCGAGCGAATGTATAATATAAGACCACGCAGGCGAAGCCGTGGGCGGAAAGCTAGTTAAAAATAAAAGCCAGTGTTACTCGGGGTGAGGTTACGTGTCTAATGATACCCTATATATTTATATCCGTTAAGTCTTTAAAGTTCATAAGTTATGGTGTAATAAAGAAACTCGCATAGATAAATTCATATATTCAACCAAAACACAATACACTCCTTGTTTTGGTTGTCGTTTAATAAAATAGAACTGCTAATAATACCGTAATTTTGGGATCCGCGATTTATCATATTTCTGCTGATTGGCTATTCTTATCTGGCTATTCCGAATATCCAACTTGCTATTTCTTACTTTCACTGCGCTTTTGATTTAACATTTTAAAGCTAGACGTTTGGCTATACAATATGTATACTTATATTATAGAGAGGTGAAGTTTCTAACTTTTTTTCTTTGTAGGGGATAATCCTTGGAAATAAATGATAAACTGCGGGTCAACAACTATTATATTCATTAATTATTTAATAATAACGGTTTTTGATAAAGTAAAAATATTTAAGTAAGGTTTATTTGCAGATGCAAATAAACCTTACTTTATAGGTAATAAGAATACTAATATTCTCCTAATCCTATTTAAATTATGCATATTATACAATTGAGTTGTTGTTGTTCTTAGCGCTGGGTAGAGGAACTAGCTCGTGAAGCCCAACGATGGGCTGATCAGTGCCGTCCCCCGCGAATACCTGAAGAGCGAGATACATGCAGGGACCTTTGTAATTCAGTATTTATAACTTCATTCTCTAGTTATTATATTTGATCAATATTGCATTCACAATGCTATAATGAAAAATATTTTTGATGAAAAATGATTAAAAAATCCACTTTGTTCTTGGCACTCTGAGATAAGCATTTTTCTTTAAGAATATTTTTCATTCTATAGTTTTATGTTTAATTATACAGGGTATGCAATCGGACTCTTGATCGCTCTACATAGTGCGTTCTGTTTTCTGCAATTGCGAAAGTTATTTTTTTTTCTCTTTATTTTGGCACAAACAGTCATTAAACAACATTTCAATGTTGAAGATATTACAATATATTGTAGGCAACGAGTACCCATAATTACTTAATACAGAAAGAACAACATGAGTTACAAAGTAAATAACAGCTTGTAAAAATTATAGTTTTACAAAATTTTGATTAGGTTATGTGAAGTTAGGATAACTAAGATTAAAAGTTGATCATTGGAACGTATTAAAGATTTTAGACTTTATGCTAGTTGAGGTATTACAAAACAGGTCAATATTGGAAAATTGACTATTATACATTTTGAGGCAACGACAAAAATAACTATTGCAGGTGTAGTTTTTGCGATAAGGTGGTGGTACAAATATTTTTATTGAACGTGAGGAGCGTGCGGGCAGTCGGGCTTTGACAATGAAGTTTATTTTAGAAAGAAGAACTGGGCAGTCAATTTTACTGTTTATCAATTTGAAAAGAATTACTAAATCAGACATCTTTCGACATTCTCTAGCGATAGCAAATTATAGCTTTTTAGTGACTTCTTGTAATCCTTATTTGCGCAGTTTTTACAGAATTTAAATTGAACCTTTTCTAGACGGGCTATATCTTTTTTATAAAAAGGATTCCAAATGACACTACCGAATTCCAATATAGAGCGTACAAAAGAAAAGAAAAGAATTTTTAAGGTATGAGGGTTATTAAAGGGTTTTGATGTTCTAATGATGAATCCGAGAGTACGAAATGCCCTTTTAACTATTTGATCGTAATGTGCTTTAAAAGATAATTTACTGTCCACGATTATTCCTAAGTCTCTAATACTATCAACTCGCACCAATTCCATGTTGTTAATCTTATAAGGATATGTAATTGTTGGAAGTTTTCTTGAAAAACTAATGATACGGCATTTGTCAGCATGTAAGTTATGCAAATTTGCAAATACCGGACCTCGATTTACCAAATTTTTGGTTATTTATCGACCAAGAAGTTCATTATCTCGAAGTGCTTGAAGGCATGTTTATCTGATATTCTCCTCGGCCGCCTGTACCTGCAGTTTTTATTAACCACTAATCTATACTGTTGGGTTATGGCTAATTCTTTCCATGTCATTTTATTCATAGGGTAGTCTTGTGTCCCTTAAGAGAGACCATTAATAGACGGATATTCTCATATAATATCTAATAATAAACACCCTTATTTAGGTACACATAAATGACCTAGTTTCATGATAACACTCACGCGATGAAGTTGAACGTTATGAGGTTACATATGTTTGCAGTGAAAGGACATAAGTTGTTGTGACTATTGATAAAAAAAGTTGTGGAGTTTTTTGCGCCCTAAAAGAAGTCCTAAGGCAAAGAATGGATTATGTTTGAAAACAGTACATACAAAAAAGGTTATATTAATCGAGTTGCCCATTTGAATAAAAATGTTTTTGACTTCAACTTCGTATTTAGGTATTTACATTTATAAAGGCTTGCATGTAGGTTCCTACGAGTATATATCCATGTTGTGAATTAGCTTCGTGATATGGAGAAGTTTATGTCTTGCAAGCCAAGTTGAACATTATCGCCTGGTTTCTACCAGGTGTTTGTTATAGAGTGGCGTCTAGTTTCAGTCGGGATCGCTTACAAACCGCTTAAGGTAAAGCTTCATTTGGTAGTACGGTATCGTCTTTTTCTGTCTTTCAGAACCGCCTTTTCCTAGATAACATCTGTAAGCAAAATGGAATTAATATAAAAACCAAGATTAGATTAATATGAGCTCTGGTGATCCCTATCTTCTTGTATGGATAGGAAACATCGACCACACTGGCCCGAGAAAGAAAAAGGATAGAGTTATTTGAGATGTAGGGCTGTAGACGAATGCTAAGAATATTTGGACTGCGATATGCATTAACGTATTGATCCTAAATTAGCTTAAAATTATTAAACACGCTGTTCACCATATGCCAATAACGCATTCTTACGTATTTTGGCCACACAATGCGCAATGGCGTTGAGAATCTGGAGAAACTGATTGTCATGATCAGTTGAAGGACTCAGTTTTCAAATTTTACAAAGTCATAAGAGACGCGTTGCACACGATCTAGTGGAGACAAATAATGAGTACCAAATGCAACTTGGATGCTGACCACAATCCTCAGTCACGTGTGACCACGATCCTCAGTCATGTGTGACCGACTTTTCTATAAACGACAGAAGCTGCCTTTTGCTAGAGCGAGAAAGGGCGAGAATGTGCTGCTAGATATAGCTGAACCCTTACAAGTAATTTTTCACATGTTTTTCTATCTGTCTTATATATAGTTAGGTTGCTGTAATCGAGTTAGATAAAATAGCGATTATAAAAACTCCTACAGTTTCCATAACCGTTGGCCAGTGTGTAGCGTCTGTGATCGGCGAGGCGCCAGGATTACGAGTCGAGTCCATGGTGGACTTATGGTATATGCAGAGTATGCATTATAAAGAAAACGTCACTTCTTTTGTCGTGTAAGTACTATTATTTAACAATGATATTTCAACTACTACATGATGATAGTTTTGATAAAAATGCGTTTTTGTTAAAATGTTGTAAAGAAAAAAGTGATCGTTTGATTTTTAGTTAAATGTTATTATATAGATTATAGATTGTATTTACTTTTATTTATTTATCAAGAAGTTTTACATATATCAATTGAACTATATAATTTTTTCCTATGAAAACCTTTCTGGGTCTATATTGCAAAATATATTTGCATGAAGGGCAATGATATATTGAAATTGGTATAATTATGATTATAAAAATAAATATAATGTGAAGTTTTATAAATACAGCATTATAAAAAGTACAGTATTTATATAAATCTAGGGGTATACACAAAAATACAATGTTGCTTATGATATTACTGCGATTGCGAAAAAGAACTTGGATCTTTTTTGCAAAATCAAGAAATGAAATGATCGCCTTTCTTTTAAAATATAAATGAATAATTGAAATATATTACCAGTATGTAACAGTTACCATGGAACTTTTTTGTGTTTTGATAAAATTTTTTTTGAGTTGGTATCATTTGGGCCAGTGTATTTTTAGATTTTTTTCTAGCTAAAAGTTTTTAAATCACCTTGATCTTTATAGAACCTATACAAGTTCATTTTTAGGCTTCTGCATATATAGCTTGATTTTGACAGATATGTGGGTTGGATACGGTTTGCACAACAACGTCCATTTCTTAAATTCCTAATAATGCATAAACATTCACATAGGTACTCTGTTGAAAATTGAGTTTAAAATTCAAAATTTGACATTTTACATTGTTGATACCTAGCGTGTTTATATTCTTTGCCTTTTTTATTTTTAGACCTGTGAGCAATATAAACTATTATGGAGACTTTGCACAAATGATATGGGCATGGAGTTACATGGTTGGCTGTGGCAGAAGTCGTTTTATGGTAAGAGCCACTTTATCTTGGATTTATGTTGGTTTTAGCCCCAGAAGTAAGCGTATAAGTGTAAGGAGAGTTAGTGATAAATCAGCTCTTCATATTTAGTTTTGTTAATGCACACATCTGTATCAACTAAATTTAATATAAAATACAATTAATGTTGGCTACAAATTAAAAAAAAAATTACTTTGAATAAAAATGCAGTATTTCAAAGTTATTGTCCAAATGTTTTGGATGTAGGTTTAAGAAACACATTTTTACATTATTTAGGTATTTGAAATAAAATAAAAAAATTCATGGCCTAAATGACATTGATTTAGTTATTGGGAATCCTGCTGGATTCTTGTTTTTTTTATCTGGAATTATCGTTTACTCGTATACGTAATGTAACCAGGCTGAAGTTAGGGGACGCTTGAGGAGTGTAGAGCGTCTCGTGTGCAATCTATCACCGAAGGGTCCCTCTGCAGGGCGACCTCTCTGGGTCGCTACGTCACCGGCCTCGGCTTGTCCTCCCCGATCCGTACAAGATCCCAATCTTCCTGCACTATGCAACTTTCGTGAGTAAAGAAAATATTTGTCTTGGTAGTATTGCAGTTTAAATTTGCAGCTTTACATTAGCTTTCAGTCACAATTTGTGCTGATCAACTATTATCTTTACAAGAGAAGATATAGCGATATAAAATACTAAAAATAGGATACGAAATAAAGTCGTTCACGGTTTCAGAAGCCGATTTAGACGTATCAACAGATGTCGACGGCGTTTTATCTATAGAAGAGCACGTCCTATTAAGCACAGTATTAGAAATAGAAAATAGAGAATCTCCCAATTATTTAGGAAGCCTAGATGAGTTATATTTGACTAAGTTGGCGATAGTGACCATGGAAAATTCAGTTACCCAAGCACTTCCGCATAACAATTATGTATATAAAAGGGATATAAAATATAAGTTAGGTATCAATGATATCGAATTTGAATTACTTGATAATTTTATTCATAATGAAACTAAGCAAGATACTAATGCAACATTAGATATTAATTATGAAGAAACTAAATTAACACCAAAAGTGACTAACAAAAATATCAAAACTGTAGGGCGACCAAAGCCTTATGATATAGAGGAGTTAATTAACAATGATGCAGAACAGAATATAACTGGGGAGATCAGTAAGTTGAATATACTAAAGATGAGATTAAAGTCTCATTGCATAAATCTTATGATTGTCATATGTTGCAGATCACCATGATACAACAGAACGAGGATTTCCAAAGATTGATCGAGACGTTTATTTGGATTATTATGAAATTACGATATTAAAAGAAGTTAATACAACAGTCTTAGCAACAACACCTGAATCCACAAATAAGCATGATGGTGTGCATATGTCACCACAAAATTGTAATATTTTGCGGTATAATCTGACGAGATAGATATCTCGTTTTTCAGTTTAGGTTAGAAATATTATAATCAAAAGATTATAAAGTTTCTAATAAGATTAGAAACAGACGATGCCTTACAATTTTACGGTGACATATTTATTTATACATATAATAAATGCAACAGCTGTATATTATATCTGCAAGAATAACCTGAAAATACATTTTGTAGATAATTTAACTGAAATTTTATTAAATGTGAGCAATGTAAATCGACTGAATGATGAATCTACAGTAATTGAATCGACTCATAGCTTGAATACAGAAATGTATGTATTGGAAGAAAATAATTATCAATTTAATGAGACATCGACGATATTGAATAACAATACTCTGATAGAAGTTAATGATTCACATACAACAAGGGCTGTTGATGATGATTACCTTACTGATCGTGAGTATTGAAATTGCTTTCAATGGATTGAGATGATTTGAAGATAAGAGATAGAAATGAAAGCATTGGAAAAGTTGTTACTTCAATTTGATATATAAATTTAAAAATATGTATTAATACATTACTTTTTGAACGTTTCTTTTCACGACAAAAAGAATTTGCGAAATGACGTGAAATTCATATATGCTGAACGAAGGCTATTTTGATTTTGAGTAATGTATCTATTTAAATACTAGCTGTTTTCTCGCGAATTCGCTCGTGTAAATTATAGCACTAGACTATATTGTAAATTTCTGTAGTTGAAGAAGTTTTAAAATCGGCCCCTGTTTCGGAGCCTATTCACAGCAAACAAACATTTTCTCTTCATAATATCAGAATTTATTAAAATATTTCTTTCAGCTGAAACGGTGAGAGAACTTCAAGAGGCCTTAGATCGGATGGAACAATCTCTAGGGGAAGCAACACGTACGCCTGGAAAGGTAATATTTACATCACAAAGGGAAAAAAGGCTTTTATTTTTCCCTTAATGTAAGCAAGGAAGTAGCAACGTATGCATAAGGTGCAGTAATTTATTAACGATGTGCATTGAATCTTAATGCTTTATTAAGCGTGACTTGGAATGTAGCATTGTTTTGCATCTAAGGTACCCCTCAAGCTACATGCGAAGAAATTGTAATAGTAGACATTTTCTTTTAATTTTATTCATTTTCATTTAACTTCTTAAAGGTTAATGTCTTAAAATTACTATGATTAAAAAAAATCTTGTATCAGGTACGCCGCGAATTACGTGACCCATTACCGATCGACGATACGAAACAGGTCCAGGAACAATCGAATGCTAATGATGCAGTCAGCTACGGAACAAATCAAGAGATCCCTGACCAATTTCAAAACAAAACTATGGATAAACAGCCTTTATTGAACATGGTGTTAAAGTATTTTCCATACCTTAAACCTTATCAGAAGGACATATTAGGAAAGACTGAATCTGGTGCCTGTTCTACAGAGTTATCGCATTCTTTACTTGTTTCGGGTGCTATTTTTATTCTTAAATACACGTTTTAGTCATATGTTTGCGTTTATTGTGTAATTACGTAACTATTTCTGAATTATTATATTTATTTTTAAATTGTCACCAGTTTTTCTTACACAGTCTACCCTTTTACTTTTCATGCTATAATATAGCTTCTATTTTTACTTTAACTTGTATAGAAGAAAACCTGAAATTCGGCCTAAAAACATTACCTCTGCTACAACTTAAATGCAAACGGATTGAAACTTGAATTAAAGTCGTATCTCATTGGAATAAGGATTATTGGAACTCGATGCGTCATATAAAAGGCGTGAAAGAGTTTCGGGGCCAGTAATGAAACGTTAATCAGTAGCGTCGCGCCGGTCATCGGCCGATTTACTTCAGTTGTGCTGGACACCTGTAAGTGACGGTTGTGCTGCGACGGCACATTCGGTTGTGTTGTTATAACTCGTGTGTTAATATAATCTATATAGTTACATAAAACATTTGATCTATGGTAGTGTGAGTCATGAAAATACGATTAAGCTAAAGAGTTTAGACGTACACTCTTTATTATATGTGAATTAAAGTTAAATTAGTGCAGCAATTTTTTTTAATACTTAATATATTATTATGATATATCGAAATATGTAAATAGGAATTTAATTAATTTTTTTAAATTAATGATTTGCTGTGTAACGGTGTATAAGGCACATTTTTATATGTATTTAAATTATGTTTTTGGGGAGTTAAATTGATTTTTTTGTGTAATGACATTGAAACATTATAGCAAATTGTAGTCAAGTGCTACAACCGGAGTCGTCTACGGACAACTACGTGCTACGACGTAGTCTGGTTTACATGAAAATATTGATGTAAATTTCTTTTACGCTATATCGATAAACTTCCAGAAAGTTTTTATTCAATTTAAATGTTTTGTTGTTATGGTATTTAAGAGATGCATGTCTTATTATTATTATAAACACGAAAGTTTGTGAGGATGGATGTATGTACGAGTATGAATAAAGTGAACATAATTCAGGAGTGTAATCATATTTCTTTGATAAAATGTGACATCGTAATTATGTTGAAACATACCTTAAAATTATGATCTTATTTTTTGTTAGTGTATTTTAGTAAATAGAGAGCGACAGTTTATTTACTTATGTTTACTTGTCAACTAAAAATGTCACAGATACACACCGACATTTTTAGTTGACAAGTAGTATGGGTTAATCGTTGACCCTTATCTGACGGAATATCAGTGAAACTTCTTACGGAAGTAAGCTTTAGTTTGCGACAGATCATCCATTCATCTAAAAGTGTTTCTCAATCGGTCTACGGAAGCATATGTTTCCGCGAGTGGCCCACGGAGTCCCGTAAAACTATTGCTGTTTAAAAATAAATAAATAATCTATATATAGCATAAAACAAAGTCGCTACCTGCTGTCTGTACGGTGAGATCTTTTAAACTATGAAATGGATATCAATTTGGTTTTCATTAAAATACAATGCGAATCATTCGAAATTTTATTTATATATTAATACATACATACAATTAAAATAAAATTATTTTTTATCTCAAAATAGCGCAGGAGCGAAGCGGGTCGCAAGTCACCAGTATATTATAATTTAATGCGTCTTCTATTTATAGATACATAAAACATGTAATAAAGCTTTATTTATTCAGACTTATGTACAGCATATTATCCAATTAAATCCATAGCTTTTTGGATGTCCGGGGCTGCTATTGCGAGATAGAAAATGGTTCCCAAAATTTAAAAAACACAAGCAACGTTAAATTTCAAATGATATATTTTCAGCACAGATATTTCATCGATGATATGCAACTGAATTTCGTCAGATATGTGCCGACTTTAGGACGTAACCATTTATCTTATAGACAAATCAATTTGTCAATGTTAATAAGACGTCCAGTTGAAATGTTATAAGTTTTTATACAAAATGACGAACGATACGAAGTCTGGTGGTGGGGAAGCCCGCGAGAGTACAGCGCGTGGGTCGTGGCCGCGCAGATCAGAAGATGCTGTAAAGATTGAATTTGGTTTTGGCGTGCCTCTGGGAGCGATGTCGGCCCACCCAGCTTTTCACTCCGCTTGGGACCTCGGATGGTGAGATGTGTTGTTATTATTTACATTAAGTTGAATGATCGCGCTTCATTGTTGTACAAACAGCATTTTATTGTCTCCACACAATTCCTCTAAAATCTAGAGGCGATAATCGGAGAATTTTGATATCACCTTGTGAAAAAATCTAAAGGTCAACTGTTGTTTTAAAAAAGGACGTATTTTAAAGTTAGTTTGCACCAAAGATCAATGGTGCGACCGCGTAACTCCCTAGTTAAAGGATATGATAACTTAGCGAATATTATGATGATATTTCGTTTAATTTTACTGTTGCTATGAGAATTTTCTTTAACCAAGTCAAAACAAAACTTGTTTCTTTTATTTTGAAATCAATTTTGGCAGCCGGGTTCTTAAATTTTTCAATTATTTATTTATATTTTATTCCTTTTAGTAACCAGTTAATGTATAAAAGGTATATCATAGATCATAATGTATGTAAGTAAATATATATTTGCCGAATGTACTTAATTTGGTATCCATATTGTTATAATTGAATAAATATTAATTTACATATTTTTTAAATGTCATTATACATCCGCCATATTTGATATTTAAAAGAATATATAATTACTGTTACTCGAGATGATCTACGGTTTCTAATGATATCGATATACTGTTATGTTTAGTCTTTCAACAGTTATGGTGGAATAACAAAATTTACTCCTGTTTTAAGTAGTCGTGTAAAAACAGCATTGACTCAATGTCGAAAGCAAAGCTGTCATAGCATAGAGGTTCAATCAAAAAAAAAACTACTTCAACAAGTAATAAAGTTTTATTTCATAGATATATGATTGACAGCGCTGTGCTCGACGACTAATTCAAGATTGTTATTTAACAGCTTATCTCTAATATCTTAAATAAAAATAAATAAATAAAATAAAAACTCCGTAATATTTTCAGCGTTTGAAGTGCGTGATTTGATACTAAAAGAAAGACATAATTAACATAACGTAGCCTCCAAATGTCGGTGTTGGCCCAAGGTCTAGTTGAAGTACTGTAATTAATTTTGTATTTCCATCTGTAACAATAACGGGTACCGTTGAAATTAGCAAGATTCTTTTGTTTATATGAGCGACAATTACTGGTTTTGCTCTTGTTAAAAAAATTTACATACTTTAGAATAAAATAATTACCCTTTGCATTTCATGTACTGTAAATACCTCATAAATATAATAATCACACATAATTGCAATAATGTACCACTTATCATCATTTGAATTCTTCTCTAAACAAACTGAAAATTACCTAGTTTATGCCAACGATTTTGTTTTTGTTTTCAGTAAAAATCATCTTAATTCCTATAGAAAAAATATATCAATAGGCACAAATAAAGACAAACAACTTTTAGTTGTAGCTTGGTGGTAAGCGCTTCTGTAGCTATGATCAGTCAGCATAAGTGAATTAAGATTGTACTGATAATTAACTAGCCAAAATGGGAATCGCTTCCGGAACTCGATTCATCTAGTTTATAGAAGTTGTACGACATAATTATAGTACCTTAAGTTAGTTTAGTTAGACATTATTAGAGTTATTATTCAAATATTTTTATAGCGTTTCGTCAATCAATATGCACATCGTAATCAAAAGTATACATAGTGGCATTAATGTTAAATTAGATTGCGACAGTAGATTTTCTACTCAAAACTGCATACTGTTAAGGTTTAAATTCAATTGACAAAAACAGTATGTATAACCTGGACGTGCTATTGACAAATGTTTAGTCGAAATTCAAATTCAATGTTCTAGATCGATCGAAAACACTCGCTTTTATTGGCTGCCTATTTTTGTGTACCCTAAAGTGTGTAAATGTGCCTTTGTTTATATGTACTGTAATAAATTACATGTGTTGTCT